AAAATTATTACATTCTCTCTGGCAAAGTAACAAGAACAAAAACACCACTGAGCAACTCATCCATTATTTAAACTACGGACATTTAATTAAATTCCTATTCAACTTTCAAACCCCATTTATTTATTACGAGAATAACAGGAGCAACAAAAAAAAAAAAACAACTACAACCAGCCAGAGAGAAAACATGCTTAATTGCATTACTTTCGCTTCAATTTGTAGCAGGCCAAAGGATCAGTGGTAAATGGTGACTAGAGCTGGCGAAGATGGCTGGGTTTAATGGCAATGGCTATTGCAGTGCTGCAACTGAACACTTTGGATTGCAGCAATTCCAATATAGACACAAAACCCCCCATGGGGGTTAAGCAGTCGTTGCGCATGAGAACGGATATGAGATGTTAGATGTGATTATTTAGTGGGAGTATATTCGTTGGCAATCGCTAGACTGGTGGCATTAATACGGAGGGACATAAAATTGTTATCAGACAAAAGCCTGAAAACTATGCTACCATGCAATTGTTGGATGCATAAACGAAAGAGGCGCTCAGCACCCATTCGCCGTTTGCAGTTGGCCAACCATAACAAAGGCTGTAAAAATAAGCAAACCAACTGCATCCAGTATTTTTTTCGCCCGCTTCTCTTCCTCTCTCACACTGTGTCTCCCACACACACAAAGCAGAGTAATAAAGTGACCGTCATTATGCATTTACTTCGATTCTTAAATGGCATTGCTACCATGGGGCGGGCATGGTCATTGCCATTAGGAACATTACACAATGGCGATGGAACAATTACATAAATACATATAGACACTTTTTTGTGTAAAGAAACCAGCGACTTCCACTTAAAGAGCCACTGTTAGTATTTCAACTCTTAACAAAGGGTCTTTGAATAAAAAAAAAAAAAAAAACAAAATGATTGAAGATTGAAATAAAAAGCTATGCCAGGGCATGTATGTGCCTTATTAAGGAAAAGTGTACTTTCGATGTAAATCGAATATTTTTTCAAAGGAATAGGTGGAAGAAATCTATAAACGATCATAGAAAGATTGGAAACCCCCCACACAATTCACTGAACCTTATAGAACTAATTTTTGGATACTCGTTATACAGGGTTGCCCATATTCGACGGACCTTTGGGCCCTTTGGGCCCATTCCAATCGACGAGGCTTGTCCGCAGGCAACATTCTTTGCGTCAATTGAATTTTGTACGGGAACAAATGCAAATCAATGCGAATAATCCGTTGTAAAGTGGACCGAGTCATGCCCAACTGCTGAGAACGGCGTTTTTGGGATGTTCTTGGGGACCTTTCGACACTGGCTCGTACGGCAGCGATATTCTCGGTCGATCCCCTTGGTCGACTTTTATATGGCCTCTTCGGATTAGAAAGAGCCTTACCAGTCGAAAATTTTTCGTATAAACACTTAATGGTGTTCTTAGAAGGCGCACTTCTCTCATTTTTTAATGTTTTAAAAGCACGTTGAGTTTTCACAAATGACTTCAATTGACACAATTGACTATTTCAGAGCGCTCGCGTGGCGTGTATTGGTTCATGGTAAAAATCAGCTTGGACTGACGCTTCAAACGCGGTATGTCATTAAGCGATGTGACATCTCTGTCAAAAGTTATGGCGTTGCCAGATGGGTCCGTCGAATATGGGCAACCCTATATGTAAAAGACTATAAAAGAATCACAGGAGACCTCAGAAATGTGTCCAGTTAAAATAAAGGCTGGTTTTTCTTCCATACCGAATTCACACGTCAAATTTAGTGAAAGTAGGTCCAGATATGGCTATGGCTATTATATTTAATATTTAAATCCTCTCATAGCCGTCAAAGTCAAACCCCATAATTTTTACATTTTTATACCCTCCACCATGAAAAGGAGGGTATATTAACGTTGTCATTCCGTTTGTAACATCCTTAAATATTCGTCTTAGTAAAGTATAAAGTATATATATTCATAATCAGCATAAAATTCTAAGTCGATTTAACGATGTCCGTCTGTCTGTCTGTCTATTGAAATCACGATACAGCCCACATTATTTGACGTAGAGCGCCAAAGTTTAGCAGAGCTATTTGCATTGTGTCTAGGATGGTTGGTATTAAAAATAAGATGTATCGGTCCACGTTCTGGTATAGCCCCCATATAACGGTACCTCCCGATATTCGGTAATTTGATGATTTTTGCAACCTTTTTTCACGGATTTGTCTGAAAATTGGTATTTGTTGGTCATTATGGGTTGCAGCTCCGGTGGCGAAACATTGCATGCATGGGTCCATAATTTTATATAGCCCCCATATAACGGTACATCCCGATATTCGGTATTTTGATGGTTTTTGCCACATTTTTTCATTGATTTGTCTAAAAATTGGTATTTGTGGGTCATAATGGGTCCTAGTTTGTGTAGCGAAACATTGTAATTATAGGTACACGTTTTGGTGTAGCCCCCATATAACGGTACCTCCCGATATTTCGTATTTTAATGGTTTTTGTCAAATTTCTTCTAATGTTTCCTTTACCCTAAGGTGGAGGGTATTAAAAGTTTGGCCCGGCCGAACTTAAGTTTAAATTTGTTCGAATTGGTCACCTTTGGCACGAATAATGGCCTTCAAACGGTCAATGAAATTGTCACAAGCTTCCCGAATGTTGCTCTGCGGTATTTTGTCGAAGCGCTTGCTTGAGATGATCGACACTTTGGTATTTTTAGTGCCAACCTTGCTTTCCAAAATACTCCAGACACAATAGTCCAAAGGATTGCAATCCGGAGATTTTGGTGGCCATTGTGCGCTGGAAATCAAGCGAGGAACCTCATTTTGTAACCATTTTTTGGTTGCGCATGTGCAGTGTGCGATGGTGCTGAGTCCTGTTGGAATGTCCAAGATCTGCGGCCAAAATGTTTGTGTACCCATGGCTTTAATACACTCTCCAGAATATTTTCGCGATAATATTTGGCATTTATTCTGATGCCACGATCGAATGATACGAGCAGAGAGCAACCACTGGCTGTTATGGCGGCCCACACCACCACCATGGCCGGCGCTTGAGTTCTGGTGGCCAACCGAAGGTGCACATTTTCAGTGCAAAGCATTTTCAGTGCAAAGCACTCGAAAAAAACTAATATATGTGAGTAATATCCTCATCAGAATCGATTTTTACCAAATTTGCGGTGGCATTTGTGTCTAAATCGATATTCAGAAAATCCCTCCATATATGGGAACTATATGCAAATTGAACAGATCTCTGTGAAATTTAGCAAAGATTTTAATTTACTGTATCGGATAGCTGGCGCCAAATATCGTTGTTGTGGTAAGCTTTTTACGAATTTTAGGGACTTATTTACAAAATCGGATGAAATTATATATATATATATATATATGTGACCTATACCTATCGATTTTCACCAAATGAGAATCTGATACACTTTCTTCCATGCTGAATTCGTTCGTTTGTGAAAAAAATCTTGCAATTAGGGCTTATATAAACGAGTTGGTGTTTAATAAACTGGAAATCGGGTAAATATATATAGGGGAGGTACAAAATTAAAAAAAAAATAAACTTGAAAACTTCTACTTAAATGAAAACTGTTATATTAAGACTATACAAAGACGTTGACCTGCATACGAAATTTTTTTTTCATAGGCTGTATTGCCCATTACGAACTTCAAATACGAAATTTGTTACAATTACTTTGAATAATGTCGCTAAAATCATAAAAATACCGAATATAGGCAGGTACCGTTATATTGGGGCTATACGAAGACTTGGACCTGCATACAAAAATTTTTGCCTTAGGCTGTAGTACCCATTGGTTTCTTCCAGTACGAAATTTGAAACGATGCCGGTGAATAATGTTGCTGAAATCATCAAAATGCCGAATATCGGAAAGTACCATTATATGGGGGCTATAGGAAGACTTGGACCTGCATACAAAAATTTTGGTCATGGGCTGTAGTAGCCATTACGAACTTCAAATACGAAATTTGAAACAATTCCGGTGAATAATGTCGCTAAAATCATGAAAATACCGAATATCGGGAGGTACCGTTATATGGGGGCTATACGAAAACGTGGTCCGACATGACCCATTTACGAACTTAAACTGCCTACTGGTAAACAATGCATTTATGCAAAATTTTAGCCTTCTATCTCCATTCGTTCGAAAGATATAGTGATTACAACCGACAGACAGACGGACGGACATCGCTAGATCGCCTTAGAATTTTATGCTTATCCAGATTAGATATACTTTGTAGGGTCTATTAGGAATATTTCGAGGAATTACAAACGGAATGACAAAGTTAATATACCCTCCATAGAATGGTGGAGGGTATAAAAATATGTCATGGGCCAGATCGTTATGATGTGTCAAGTCTATAAAATATTTATGTAACCTCTTCCATATGATGGTCCTATGCAAGAACTTCTTTCCATACCATCTATGTTCCATATGAAGAAGACCGATTTAAGGTCTTTCATACAAGGTCTTCTCTACCTAGAAGATCTTTGCATATTCTTCTTTCATGTTCGCCCAGTAAAAAGTGTTTAAGCACCAATACAATCATATCTCGTTACTTAAAACATTAAAGCTTTTCGCCAAACTCTACCACTTTCAGCTTGTATCTTTCACCATACATATATTTATTGCCACCGGTTTGTATTATCACGGTGTGGCAGCTTATGCTACAATCCTGCTTACGACTGCAGTTAAAAATATTTGTATAAATGTGTGTGTGTGTGACTTTTTTTTAATACGGATGCTCGTGTGAATGTCCACGACGTTGAATGAGTGTGACATGTGTATGTATGTGTGATGCGAATACACACATATGTATAGGTACTTTTGAACGAATATTGGATAAATTATGTTTAAATTTCCATTTGTATTGCTCCATTGTCTGATGTTGCCGTTCTTTGTTTTTTTTTTTTCTTTTTTCCCACTGTTTTTTTCTCGTCTATCTGTTTCACATTGTGCCGATCTGCCGGCAATATTTTTCCACCAGGTGCCAGAACGTGTACGAGCCATGAATGCTAGCATAAAACTTTTGCTAATTGTCCGAGAGCCGGTGACAAGAGCCATTTCTGATTATACGCAATTACGTAGTCATGCTGCAACGGCCACATTACCACTGGCCAACGCCAATGAAAACCAACAGCCGCATCAACAACAACAGCAGCAGCAACAACCACAACACTCGTCGTCAACTGGAAATGCGGGCAAATTGTCCTCGCACTCATCGTCGATGCTCTATAACAAATTAAATGCCGGTTACTCTTCATCACAAATATACGACAACTCGATAGGTGGGGGTGGCGGAGGAGGAGGCAGTGCAGGTGGTATTGGCCCCGGCAGTGGTGGAGGACGTTATATTTACGGTTCAGGTGCCGGCAGTTTAAAGGCAAACTATAACAAAAATTTGCACTCAATGCGCCAGTATGAAACGACAACACCAAATCCAGCATCGGCGGCAGCTGCAGCGGCCCAAATATTGTCAAAGTGAGTGGAAACTGCTTCTTTTTTTGTCTGTCTATGCTTTTTTGGACACTTGTCCATTCCCACAATAAAACTATATTTCGGTACGAATATAAGATAGGATGTTTTACATATCCTGTGTATTTTTGCGTTAAAATATTTCCTGAGTTAAAATATATTTCCCTGATTTTTCGCTTTTTTCATAACATTTTATTTCAAAAGAATATGTTTTTTCTTTTGCATGGGAAGCATTTTTGTACTCCAGCTATTGTTGTTTTTCAATATGTTTTTTATTTTATTTTTTTTTTTTTTGTTTGTATCTCGTTTCCAGCAGATCCTTTGAAGAGTTGGCCATTTTTCCCAATGGTACAGTTAACGAATCGTATCGCCCCTTAACCATCTCCATGTACCACTTACATTTGCATCGTTGGCTGGAAGTCTTCCCTAGAGAACAGATTTTGGTTGTCAATGGTGATCGGCTGATAGACGATCCGGTATCGCAGTTAAAGAAAATTGAAACATTTTTAGGTGAGTATGAAAAATTTAAAAAGTTACATATGCATTTTTATTAAAAAATTACATTTAATAAGAATCTAATATAAGTTAGTTAAAAAGCAGTTAAGTTAGAAGATTTATTTCCACGATGTGCAAATACTTGGTATGACTAACCAGTTGCCCTTAAAAATCTCCATAGTATATCGGTTAATATTGGGTGAGATAAAAAAAAACTGCTACAAAGTCAAGCGCCACAATTTTTACATTTTTTTTTTAAATTTTTTTGAATGAAAGCAAAAAATGTCGGAAATAGTACCAACTTTTAAATAAGTTTAGAATTGTTCGAATTGGTCACCCTTGGCCCGAATTATGGCCTTCAAACGGTCAATGAAACTGTCACATGCTGCCCGAATGTTGCTCTGCGGTATTTTGGCCCAATCCCGGCGAAGCGCTTGCTTGAGGTGATCGACACTTAGGTATTTTTTGGTGCCAACCTTGCTTTCCAAAATATTCCAGACACAATAGTCCAAGGGATTGGCATCCGGAGATTTTAGTGGCCTTTATGCGCTGGAAATGAAACGAGGAACGTTATTTTCTAACCATTCTTTGGTGGCTCGTGCTGAGTGCAATGGCACTGAGTCCTGTTGGAATGTTAAAGGCCTGCGTCCAAAATGTGTGCGTGCCCAAGGCTTTAATACACCCTCCAGAATATTTTCGCGATAATATTCGGTATTTATTCTGATGCCACGGTCGTTTAATACGAGCGGAGAGCGACCATTGGCTGTTATGGCGGCCCACACTATCACCATGGCCGGCGCTTGAGTTCTGGTAGCCAACCGATGGTGCACATTTTCAGCTGACCTCTCTGACAAGAAAACACGATCATTTTGATTGTTTACAAACTGCTGGACAATGAATGTTTTCTGGTCGGGGAAAACCAAATTCGGTTCTTGTGGTGTAAGTTCTTGCACTTTTTGGAATTTTGAATGGCTTCACCCCGAGCTACTTTTTCAATATTTGTCGAAGGAATATTGCGATATATTCAGCCACGAGCCAACCTGCGGCTTCGAAACTCAACGTCGTCAAACGCAAAACACAAACAAAATACGACAGGTTGTTTTTGTAGCAGAGAGTGGTATCTTTAGCCATTTATTATACCAGAAAATGCTCTAAAAAAAGAAGAAGAACATTTTCAAAAACTTTCGTATTTTTGTGTGCCATACGAATGTGTGCATCTGTATAGACAATTTTCTGGCAGAGGAGTTGAAATGTGTGACAAAATGTATCAAAGTTCCGAATATTTGGTGGTAAATTTCATGGGATATTTACCAAAATTTGGACCTATATGAACAGTTCTCTGCAAGGATTTTACCAACATACTGGAAAAGTAAACTGCCAATTTAGAGCAAATCCTCATTTACTTGAGAATGCTGGACACATAAAGAGCTTGATTATCTCAAAGTCGTCATACCAACAAGCTGAAAAAGCCCATTGTCCAATATTGCCGGGATGAAGTCATGATGTAAAGCTGTCAGTTTCGTTTCGAAAAGTATAACTCTATGCAATAGAGAGTAATATAAAGTTAGTCCAAAATTTTGTTTTGCCTAATGACGAACCCGATAGAAAGTGGTGGGAATCGGTTCAAATTTAAATATAGCTCTCATATATATCTTCAAAGATTAATTTTGCACCAAATGGCCAATAACAGTACAAATGTCTTGAATTTTGGAAAATCCGACCGAATTCAGTCTAGAGACAAGTACATCACATTGGTACAGATATAGCTACAGCTCCCATATATATGTTTCATCCGATTTGAGGTATTAAGTCTCTCACATTCGTAATAAACAACCCACAAGAATGATATTGGGTACCACATTACTTAGGGAGTTCAAAAATACCTCTGTCAAAATCGATATCGTATTAGTTTAGGATATAGCTCCCATATGTATCTTTTACCGATATCAGGTTTATTGTGCACCAAATAGCTAATATCGCCCAAATGGATTTCTATGGTATTCAGCCGTATCTCAAATCTGGTGAAAATCGGTTCAGATATAGCTATAGCTCTCATATATATATTTCTTCTGATACAGCTGAAAAATACCTCTGCCAAATTTAATTGAGATCGGTTCCGATTTTTATACAGCGTCGATATACATCTTCATCCGTTATTACGGTTAGTGTTCGCCATATATCTAATGTCAGCCCAAATTGTATAATTTTCTTCATTTTCAACCGAATTTTTCCACTTGGTGAATCTTTTTCCGGCTGCAATACATATTTTTATACCCTCCACTATAGTATAGAGGGTATATTAAGTTTTTCATTCCGTTTGTAAATGAAGTAGGTTGATAAAATTTTACTAAAATGTATATTATGTCTGCAGGACTTTTGGTATTGAAAATGGGCAATGTAAAGTCCACGGTTTTGATGCTTTTGGCAACATTAACCGGATTTTTTTTTAATTTCGTATTTGAAGTTCGTAATAGGTACTACAGCCTATGACAGGAAATTGTCTGTGCAGGTCCACGTCTTCGTATAGCCCCCATATGTTTCGTATTTGAATGTTGTAATGGCTTATGACAAAAGTTGCCTATCCGGGTCCACATCGTCGTATAGGACCTAATATAAGGCTACATTCGGTAGTATTAAAATTTTAAAAGAATTTTTGAACGGATTTTGTTTTATTTACTTATTATTATTATTTATTATTATTATTATTATTATTATTATTATTATTATTATTATTATTATTATTATTATTATTATTATTATTATTATTATTATTATTATTATTATTATTATTATTATTATTATTATTATTATTATTATTATTATTATTATTATTATTATATTATTATTATATTATTATTATTATTATTATTATTATTATTATTATTATATTATTATTATTATTATTATTATTATTATTATTATTATTATTATTATTATTATTATTATTATTATTATTATTATTATTATTATTATTATTATTATTATTATTATTATTATTATTATTATTATTATTATATTATTATTATTATTATTATTATTATTATTATTATTATTATTATTATTATTATTGTATTATTATTATTATTATTATTATTATTATTATTATTATTATTATTATATTATTATTATTATTATTATTATTATTATTATTATTATATTATTATTATTAGTATTATTATTATTATTATTATTATTATTATTATTATTATTATTATTATTATTATTATTATTATATTATTATTATTATTATTATTATTATTATTATTATTATTATTATTATTATTATTATTATTATTATTATTATTATTATTATTATTATTATTATTATTATTATTATTATTATTATTATTATTATTATTATTATTATTATTATTATTATTATTATTATTATTATTATTATTATTATTATTATTATTATTATTATTATTATTATTATTATTATTATTATTATTATTATTATTATTATTATTATTATTTATTATTTATTTATTTATTTATTTATTTTTTTTTTTTTTTTGAGAGAGAATTGCCAAATTCGTTTCAAATGGTGGAGGTCATATCGAGCTCAGAGGCCTTTGTCTAATTGTGGTGTAGGGTATCATACAGTCGGCCACGACCGACTTTTCACCTTAGTTTATGGTACTTTTATTGTAAAAACAAAAAAAAAATAATTTCTTATTATCACTTTTTCACTCCAACAGGCATCGAGCATCGCATTACCAACAATCATTTCTATTTTAATGAAACAAAAGGATTCTATTGTCTGCGTTACGATAGTGGTGATCGTTGTTTGCGAGAGACCAAAGGACGAAAACATCCTCACGTCGATCCGGTTGTTATCTCAAAGCTGCGTAAGTTCTTTGCCGAACATAATCAGCGATTCTATGAATTGGTCGGCGAAGATCTGGGATGGCCTGAAGAATAAGCAAATGAAAGAAGGAGAAGGATGAAATTAATCCCTGATGATAACTGTGTATAATAATAATGGTAACTGTATGTAAAAAGAATGTGTATTCCGTTTCCGATAATGTAAGCTGTAAAAAGAAGATAAACAAAAACAATTTTGTTGTAGTTAGACATTTCTCTGTATTTGTATGTAAAGATGAAATATTGTAAAAAGGAAGCAAACAAGAAAACAAAAACATAGTCAAGAACGCAAATGACACAAGGAGTTAAACTCAGACTGTACAGAATATATATATGTATATTTTATGTTAATGTTATTTCCAATTACATTTACTTTTTTTTGTATAAATCGAATGTGTGAATGACCTCTTTTTTAATTTCTGATTATTTTTAATTGCATATCAGTGTAGTTTGTTCTTTAATCAACTGAACTCATTATTACGAAGCCTTTTACATTGATACCGCACAACCAAAAAGAGTGAGAACAAAGTAAATATTATTTTCAAGTAATGAAGTGGAATGGAAAAAATTAATTTTTTTATTTTCAATTATTTTGGTTTTTTATTTCGTTAGTATAGGTATAACAACGCAACATATTAATTTCCGGTGAAATACAGGGTTTCCATGTTGTTTATGAGAAAAAATTTGGTTTTTCTATACCCTCCACCATTCTATGGAGGGTATAATAACTTTGTCATTCCTAAAATTTGCACACATGTTTATTTTGCCCGTAGGCAGGTTAATTTCGTAAATGGGTCATGTAGATCCACGTTTTCATATAGCCCCCATATAACGGTACCTCCCAATATTCGGCACTTTGATGATTTTAGCGATATTATTCACCGGAATTGTTTCAAATTTGGTATTTTGAGTTCGTAATGGGTACTACAACCTACGACAGAAAATTGTCTAGGCAGGTCCACGTCTTCATATAGCCCCATATAACGGTACCTCCCGATATCGGTTCTTTGATGATTTTAGCGTCATTATTCACCGAAGTAGTTTCAAATTAAGTATTTAGAGTTCGAAATGGAAACTACAGTATGTGACTTAAAGTTTTTTATGCAGGTCTAGGTGCTCGTGTAGGCCCCATATATCAGTACCTTCCTATATTTGGTATTCTGATGATTTTAGTGACATTATTCACCGGAATTGTTTCAAATTTGGCATTTGAAGTTCATAATGGATGCTACAGCCTGTGACATGCAGGCTATGCAGGTCCACGTCCTCGTATAACCCCCATATAACAGTATCTCCCGATATTCGGTACTTTGACGATTTTAGCGTCATTATTCACCGGAGTAGTTTCAAATTAAATTAGAGTACATAATGGGAACTACAGTCTGTGACTTACAGTTTTTTATGCAGGTCCAGGTCTCCGTATAGGTCCCATATATCAGTACCTCCCTATATTCGGTATTTTGACGATTTTAGGTACAATACTCACTAAAATTTTTTGAGATGTCGTATTTGAATTTCGTAATGGATTCTACAGCCTGTGACAGAAAATTGTCTATGCAGGTTCAGGTCTTTGTATAGCTCCGATATAACCATACCTCCCTATTTACGGTATTTTGAAGATGCTACATATTATCGTTTATAATAAGGCAATGGCTTATAACAAACAATGCCTATGCAGGTCCACATCGTTTAGACTCCATTTAACGGCTATATTCGTTATTTTTAAGATTTTAACAGAATTTTTAAAGGATTTTATTTTTTTTTACTTCCAAATTCATTCCAAATGGATTTTGCACACCCGATCGAATTCATCACAGAAGCAAGAACTTAAAATTTGTTGAAAACCGATTCAGATATACCCATATAAATGTTTCGCCAGATTTGGTGTTTATGTCCCCAACATTCATAATATGCACCCCACAACAGTGGTAGTTGGTGCCAGATATCAGATACACAAATTCATCTGCCAAATTTTATCGAGATCTGCTCAGATTTGGATGTAGCTCCCATATTAAAAAAAAAAATAACGCCATAATTTTTAATTTTTTTTCTTTAATTTTATTTGAATGGAAGCAAAAATGTCGGAAATGAAACCGTCACACGCTGCCCGAATGTTTTTCTGAGGTATTTTGGCCCATTTCCGGCGAAGCGCTTGCTTGAGGTGATCAACACTTTGGTATTTTTTAGTGCCAACCTTGCTTTACAAAATACTCCAGACACAATAGTCCAACGGATTGGTATCCGGAAATTTTGGTGACCATTGAGTGCTAGAAATTAAGCGAGGAACCTCATTTTGTAACCATTCTTGGGTGGCGCGTGCTGAGTCATGTTGGAATGTCCAAGGTCTGCGGGAAAAATGTTTGCGTGCCCAAGGCTTTAATACACCCTCCAGAATATTTTCGCTATAATATTCGGCATTTATTCTGACGGTCGAATGATACGAGCGACCATCGGCTGTTATGGCGGCCCACACCAGTTCTGGTGGTAAACCGAAGGTGCACATTTTCAGCTGACCTCTTTAGCAAGTAAAGACGATCATTTTGTTTGTTTACAAACTGCTGGACAATGAATGTTTTCTCATCGGAAAAATCCAAATTCGGCAGTTCACCACTTTTGGCCAAGCGAAGCAACTCTTTAGCTCTTTTGAGTCTATTTGCTTTGTGTTGCGGTGTAAGTTCTTGCACTTTTTGGAATTTCAATGGCTTTACCCCGAGCTAATTTTTCAATATTTTCCGAATGGAATATTGCGATATATTCAGCTCACAAGCAATTTTTCCGCCACTACGACGCAGGTTTCGATCAAGTCGCTTCTCTAGATTTCGAACCAATTCTGCTGATGTTGCTGTTTTCTTCCGTCCACTTCTTTGACTTCGGGCTACGCTACCAGTATCACGGTTACGAGCGATGGTACGAGACACAAAATATTTATTCACATTTAAATGCTGAAATGCTCTTACGATAGCCACAAATATAAAGAAACCACACTATCACGCTAGAATTCCATCACGAATAACTTATTTTTTGGAAAATTCTCACCAAAATGCTTTTGTACGCTTGTAAACAATATAATGAGCTGTCACTGGAATAATTTTAACAGCTGTCGGACGAGTGGCTTAGGAATGACATCAGTCTGAAGTTGGTTGCAGTGTTTTCATCTGAACCTGTATTGTGCACCAACTGTGTAATATCAATCCGAATCAAATGAATTTTAGCACACACGTTTATATGGAATGTAGAAGTATGTCTGGCAATTTTGGTGAATATCGGTTCAGATTTAGATATGGTCATCGTATATATTCTCGACCAATTTCAATTTTTGTGTCGATAATATGCACTCCAAAAAAATTATATTTGGTACCAGATATCAAATGCAGCTCAGAAATACCTCTGCCAAATATTATCGAGATCGATTCAGATTTGGATATAACTCCCATTTTTATTATACCCTACAACACTATGTGTTGTGGGTATTATAAGTTTGATTGGCCCAAAAATTATGTAACACTTCGAAATATTGGTTTCCAAATAGGAAAGTATATATGGATCTTCCTATCTCGCCGAGCTGAGTCGATCTAGCTATGTATGTCCGTCCGTCCGTCTGTCCGCATGTCCATGTTAATTTGTAATCACTCTACAGGTCGCAATTATGGTCCGATCTTCGCGAAATTTGGAATGGAGATGGGGCATTATATTTAGGGGTTGAAATGGACCAAAAAATGAAAAAAAAATCATGATTTTGCACTTGCTCTACAGGTCGCAATTATAGACCAATCGACGCGGAAGTTAGCATGGGGCTAGAGCTTATGGCTGGCCAGAAGTATATCAATTTTGATGGTCATCGGGTAATATTTAGTGGCTGAAATAGGCCACAACGTTTGTGTTAAATAAAAGTCAAATTTTCCATTAAACCGCGAATATTTTTAATCCCGTCGAAATCACAAATAGACGAATAGGTCAATTCTGACCGTTACGTAGATGCCGATAGTAAAAATATCGGATACATATAGCGAAATATATACAATGTATATGTACAAAGGAAGGGGATGTTAGTTAGAATGCTTATATCTCAAGAATGGCTGGACCGATTTTGACAAATTTTGTCAATTCAGAATGCCCTCTTGACATAAAAGTATAAAAGCTAAAAAAACTCGCAGAAAAATATGCCAATAATGATGTTAATTTAGATTTTGTAGTATTTTGTGACATATTTTTTTATTTTCATACTTTTTATCGCATGCGAGTTTTTCAATTTGACTTCTAATATTTTGTAATATTTTTTCACCTTACAACACAGGTGGAGATATTATATAAGTATTGCAAATATCGTTCGATCCTGACAAAAATTTTCACAAGCTTAGGGTTGGTCTCAGAAGGGCTATTAGGGGTTGAAATGGACCAACAAGTAAAAATTTTCCTGATTCTGCAGCTGTTATAAAGGTCACAAATAGAAACCTAAGGACACGAAATATGGCATAAAGTTAGAGTTTAGGACAGCGGGAACAATGAACCACTAATTTTGTGTGAAAAAATACCAGCATTACTTACAGACGATATCCAAAATACACAAAAGGCGAACTTCTGGCTTTTTTATACTGATTTCGTTGACGAATATAGCCAAATATCGTAGACAAGCAACGCATATAGATGAGTCCAAATTTGGAGATACAGAGGGGCTTCTTGCTTTTGGTGATAATTGCAAAATATTTAGGGGTTCAAATTAACCTAAAACAGAAATGTTTTTTCGATCACATAATTGAAGCCAATCGACACGCGTGAGGAGACAGTTAAGGACAGGGAAGAATTCTAACATTTTGGATTACCATTGGATTATATTTAGCTATAAAATGGACCACAACAACTAACAGCACGACGGAGTGCGTAAATATTGGGCAAATGTCCCTAGTCAAAATTCTAATTTCAAAAGCGAAATCTTCCAATATTGATTTGGACATAAAAGGGCTTCTAACATATTGTTGTGTTGTAGGGTATAACATAGTCGGCCCCGCACGTCTGTAGCCTTTGCTTACTTGTTTTCTTTCGAATTGAAGTATATTGTTCGCTAATGTCTAATATTAGCTCGAATGGAATGAATTTTGGCAGAGACTACCAAATTTAGCTTTGAATCAAGTGTGTTTGTTTTCGCTGCTATTTCACACAAATATATATTTCAGCCGATTTTGTATCTAAGTCACTCAAATCCGTAAAATATACTGCACAACAAGGATTTCCGGTGCAAGATGCAAGATACATCCTAAAAATACCCTTTCCATATTTTGTCGCGGTCGGTTCAGATTTAGGTATTGAAAATTTTAATTTGACTTCAAATTTGTTGCACTGTGTTGCCTGTTTAACAAAAGGATAAAAATCCCATTCTATATTGAAATTAAGTTTACACAAGACGTCTCAGTCCTTTCTGTGTCCTCTGTCCCATTTGAGTATTTATCTGGAGTATAAAGGGATACCTCAATTGCAGAACAATGTAATATTATCAATTTGTAATTCAATTTTTTTTGTTTGTTTGCTTATTTGTTTTCTCTCTCTTCTCTT